CCATTTTTTGACATCCTTCAATAACAAAATAACCACAGAAAAAACTCACTTTTGCGCATCAAAACAATCACGAGTGAATCTGAGGTTAGAATTTTTCAGTTACTCAACTCTCGACTTGGGTATCAAAAACAATAACCGTGTTATAGAATGATGACGTCACTTTATGACAGCAAAACACCTTCCCCTATTACCGTTTTGTCGCAAAAACGGATCGATTATTGATTTCCTGTTACCGCTTGTAACAAGGTAACTTACGGGAGCTTGCTAAAAAATACCTATTATAACAGACAGTGCGCTATTCTGTGATACTGCGCCATCTTGCGGTGTGAAATTTATAATAAGTGACGTACGCGCTCCCTAACATTGAAATTTAAATTACGAATTTTGATAATTTTTTTCAGAAGTTTGTGATAACATTTGATCAAAACAAAATAACACAGGTCTCCTTAAAATGGATGTAGATAAATATTACGCAATAAAAAAAAAACGCTGAAACATTCGATTTTAGGTCGCTAGTGAATTTTAACTCTTACCTCTTTAGTAGAGCTCTGAGCAATCATTTTGAAGCAGGAACCCGTTTCATCCAACGCAAGTTATAGACAAATTGCGATCGTTTCCACTTTGTTCACACTCACATGTTGTTGTTTCAGGGTTGGGTGCAGGAAGTTTTAAATAACTTTGAGTTAAACACATCAAAAATCACAATAAGCAAACACGCATAAATCAAATAAAATTGGAACAAAAACAGAGGAGCAAATACTTATGTATAGTAGGCCAGTCCAATGACCTGTCAAGAATGGCGCCTGTTTGGCAAAACGTGAACTAAAAACATGTTTTGTGTTCACGTCGGCAATTGATCTGATATCTTTGACATGTCGAGATCTCTCAAAAAATTTCAATATTGCGTCTGGGATGAAATGTCGTGGTTTAGACCTATACTCTTAGGTTAGGTTAAGGTTTTTTACCATTGATCATAGGTACATTATTTTACAAGCAAGCACTAAAACCGCATCTAGAAAAACTAAAAGGCAAAGTGCAAGTGTAATACAAAATATATGGTGAATTTTTTTAAATTTTAATGAGGTATAGGTACATGTTAGATAAATCCTCGGATCCATCACTGTTGCTGAAAAAATATATTTGAGAAATTTAGTAAATCATAATATTCTAGAATATATATTTTTTTTTAAAGTCGGCAGCAAAAATTTCATTCGTCGCTACAACGTAATAATCTGCGTTTAATGTATGAAAATGGCGAATTTCGCAAATCAGATGTATGCGGCTTGGTATCCGAATTATACCGTAACTTAATTAGTTACCATTATAATACCTATAAGGGTATCCAACATACCTTGGTTACTCAAAAAGAGTATGATGGGACTTTAACTAAAAGAAAAGTCGAAATTACTAAAGCAAGGCATTTCCCCTTGTTTCTTTATCAGATTGTGAAATACTAGGTAACTTGCAAAAAAGTGTATTTGGTTGGATTTTCCCTTCTTTCCAGAATGTTATTGTTAATTGGCATTCCATCGAAAGGGTGGTCTTGCGCTTCTGCATTCTCTACCTCCACTTCAGTAGGTACATTTTTTATCTATCTATCACTTCCCAAAGCCCGGAACTTATAATTTTGTCGTATTGCAACGTAAGGGTACATAAATCAAACAGCATTATTTCTCAAGTATAAAGTAAGCGATTGGCTCTTGAAGCGACACCACGACCTTCTAGAGCAAATTTGAAAAGGCGTGTGAAAAACCTTTGTAGGAGTCTATTTATCTTAATTTTGTTGCTTTTTGTGGCACAGGCCTATTCTTAGTTTTGACTCTATTGTCGGAAAACTCCGAGTAGGTTTTTTCGAACCGAACTCCGCTTTTATCGGCAAAAATGAATAATGTACTTAAAGAAAATTGATAAGGCGCTAAAATAGAAGACGAGAGTGCGAACTCTATGAAAAGCTGGTTGGATATGTTAATACGTAACAAGAGATTCTTTGAACCGTTATAGAGGTACAATGCTAGAATCAGCAGCGAAAACATGGCTCTGATGGGTTGTTCATTTGTACTTGCTCTACCTGCTCGAAAAATCAGAAAGATCTGCTAGGAGCTGCTAAATAAAAGCTTATATATGGGACAAGTGAATGACAATTTGCTGCTAAGATCTGCTTGAAGCAGGAAAAGCAGTACAAATGAACAACTCATGAGATTACTGCACTCGGCTATGGATGACGCCAAGAAGAACCTCCTGTTAATTCTGCGGAAACATGAACTCAGATCCAAGAAGACGTCATAGAGATAAAGAACACTAGCGATGACGAAGCGTCGACGTAGACAGCCCACTTGTCCAAAACAAAAAAGCAACCTGAACTAGCAAAACACAAGACGCCAGCCGGGAGGACTGAAGACACGGACTGAATCAGCAGAAGAATTAGAAAAAAACATTGACCAAGATAGAGTATTGAGAGAAACGCGAAAATCCATCCCAAGAATCCAGAACACATTAGATCCCTCATGCTGCCAGATCCAAGACGGACTTAAGGAGCAGGGGATGATGGATGCCCAAGTGAGTTAGCGGACTGGCAGTAAAAAGAATCAGAGGCAGCTCTTTCTCGTGAAGAATGCCGTTCCAAGACTTGTCACTTGCCAGAGTGGAAGCGCGAAAAGCCAAATGCCTAAGTTTCAGGTAGGCCGGAAGCCCTGCGAGTTTACGTGGATGCCCCAAGAATTCAAAGTTTGCTGCTTCCCACCATGACAGAAAGACGGATAACCCTAGCTGCTAAGATGATGGATCCTGTGACCGTCTACTCAGTCATCTCGAACTTGAACGCGCAGCAATAACAGACCTAAACAAAGCGATCATGGTAGCTTAGGGTTCCAGCAATCGAGATGATCCTCAACAACTGACATCTCCTGGAATATCAGGAGACTCCGAGCCCAGAAACTTGAGGTCTAGCTAGAAGAACACAGACCGGATATTATGGCAATACTGAAAACCATGATGACTAGATTAACGTTTAGAGGATACGCGACGTAAAAATGGAGTAGCAATTATTGTCAAAAAAAGGACTAAAACTCTCCTATCTAGAAATCAATGAATAATTTCTTATGGCTGCTGTTACTTTTGAAGACAATCAAAGGAAAGATGAAACTAAGTTCGGCTTACTTTCTGCCCAGATATCTAATTTTGGAAAAGAACATTTGGGATCTACTATAAGGAACAAACCATCATTATTGGAAATCTCAACAGCAAATCTCCAGCTTGAGACTCCATAATTGGGAATGCGAACGGAGCCTAGCGGTGTATACGGAAGCAAGAAGAGACATCATCGGATCGGAACGATCAACGTGGTTACCCTCAGGACGTGCTCGACAGTATTATTGGACAGGTGTTACCAGAAATCTAGGCTTTCAGATAGAAATGATCAAAGATGGTTTTTTAGATTATAATCTAGTACAACTCATCATCGGAACAAGATTCCGAAAACAAAATACCTCAAAGCGAAGTGAAACAACTTTAGAAGTAGACTCAAAGGCAAGAATAAGTAATCTAGTGATGCACAACATTAGACACCTGAGGAAGCTGTTGAGATAATGTAGGCTAGCATCTCCGAAACGCACCAAAAATGCTTTATCAAGTGGTTAACGAGGTTACGACCAGATAGCGAACTTTCCAGGGAAGTAAACGCCATAGTAACTGAAAACAGGAGACTCCATAGGTAACTGGATGATTGGATAGTATAGGTTGCTTGCAGGAGATGAGAAATAAGAAGAAAGAAGAAATCAACGTAAATGAGCACTCTGGATGGAAAATGTAGAAGCAAGGCAGTAGCAACACAAAAGCGAGAGGGATACATGAATGATGAAAAGGCAGGAGCCTTTGCAGTCACATTGGTTCACCAAACATCCAGTCAAGGACTAGAATCATGAAATTCAAGTTCAGCGAACTGCGAGAAGAGTATGTAACCAGGACATGAAACCACATATCAGAAAGTCCGAAATGAACAGATGCCATGAAAAGCCGTGATGGCACTTACCAGTATTACCAACTCCATCTTTGGATTAGACTTCCTTAGTAGGTACTGGAGGCGAGGAAGTCATCATGTTAAGTAAAGCAGGGAAGGACAGAAAGCTTCCACATCAGCCTCTTGCCCCTTCTTCAGTATCGTACAGGAAACTTAAGACCTTGGAACTGCTTCCAGGTTCAGAAGAACATTTTCAGCTTCAGGCGCTCAGAATAGACGAACATGCCACCAATTAATTATTTGCAAGAAGACAACTTCTTTTGAGATGTCGAACTTTCCACAGGATAGCATGACGGACTAGTTCACAAGAGGTCTGTTTCCACAGAAATCACAAACCAGTCACCGTTTTGAATTGGTTCAAATCGCCAACAACCAGTTTCCTGTCTATTTTCAACCAATGGAATTCGCTCTGACTGGTTTGTGATTTATGTGGAAACAGACTTAGGATGATTCAAGCTGGCTTTCAAGCATCTGAAAACTGGTTCAGAAATATTCTCCGTGGAATATTACTAATTTGCCTGTTTCCATAATACATTGTTTTAAGTTTCTGTTAATATTATGAATGCTTGTTTCCACAACAAGTTCATTTTGCTAAGTGATCCATCTAGTTCTGTTTCACATTCATCTTTCATTTTATGTGAAGCATTTATATCTATTTTCATAACCAGTTTTTGTTTTTCTCCTCGTAAACTTATTCCTAGTCTTGCTGTCAATGTGCTAGCTATGCGATTTAATGCAGAACCATTTTCTATCATGGACGTGGTTCTTCTTAAATGCAATTTTATGTTATTAATTTTTCATTTTCAATATCAGACGAAATATTTCTAGACAATAAAACTGAATAAAAATCGGCAAAAACGAAAGATTTAAAAAAAAAATAATAATAATAATTTGACTGACATAGTTCTCATTTACAAGTTAGCGATGGGTAGCGCATTGCGTTTTGGATGCCCTATATAGTTCTTGATGAAAATTAGGTACTTACTGATTATCTGTATGGTACATTTCAATATTTAGCTTAACCCTACAAATCATAGGCCAGTCTAGTTCATGGCAAGGTCTATCACAGCTCTTGAAATTTTGATCTGAAATTGAAAAAAATGTGGATTTTGGTAGTTTTGCTTATTACACTTGGATCTTGTAAACTAACAAAACATATGACATTTCAAAAGTTTTTTGTTAAAAAATGTCATTATATTACCTACACAAAAATTTCAACCAACAATAATTATTGATACATAATAAATTTAAAATAATTATTATGTGGATATAGGTAGAATGAAAAAACTACTTCGTTCTTAGACTCATTCTATGGGCAGATTATGTACTAATGCTTGAGTTGCCAAACTTGAACACCCTTGCAATAGACTCATTCATACCATAATTATTATAAACTTAAATTTAAAAAAAATAATCCAGCTAGTAAATAAATATTGACGTTTTATTTTGCAAAACAAATAAACACCCATTATTTACTGAAGATAAAGTAAATATTAACGAGTTTAAAACATTTTGTATGTGGTTTCCCAACAAGAGAAAGTTTCTAGAAGAGAAACGGTACTTGTTGTATGCAGACACTGGGCTGATGGTGTTCTGGTGATATTACAATCTATAAGGACTTTTACCGAGATAATATTAAATCCGGACTCAAATAATAATTTGACTACTTCAATGATTTAATATTAAACGACTACTTTTTTGAATCTACTTAGGAGTGCTATGTTTTCAAATGTCTGATTGTTAGCTGTTTTTTAATTTTCTCTCGAAGTCTTTTCTGAATGTATTTATGTATTGCTTTCAACCTGTGCTTTGATTATCGAATAGTATGTGTTTATATACTTGAAGCTTCTTCCTTGAAGCCAAATTTTTCTCGAATATCTATATGATCAATGATGCTAGTCGTATTTACAAGTGAAAAAGTGTGTACATAGCAATTTTTTGAATGATTAATAATAATCCTGCTGGCATAAAAATAATAAAATCAATTAGCAATTATTAGTTGCAGTCCATGAATCTAATTGATTTTGATTGATTTGTTATATAAACCACTTTAGTAGCGTCTTAATTATCAATTATAGTGTGCGTATCGAATTATAAATAATATTTAAACTGATTAAATTGGGAAGCATTCTATAAATTCATAACGACGCGTCAAAGACCTAAACCAACAGAGCTATCCAATTGAATTGAGAACTGAAGAGGCTGAAGTTTCTGAATTCTGCGGAAGTTTCTCCCAGACTAAAGGTTTCGAGACAAAGTTTAGTGGAGAAATTTAAAGACAACTGTAGAACACCTGTTTTGGTTTTGAGGAATTGTTGAGAGTTTCCATGTTTCTTGGATTCGTTTTTTTTCTGTTCTAAAAATCAGGCGTAGGCATCAGGAAAACGTGTCCGTATAATAAACTCAGTCAATGAAGATTTTTCGAAACTCTAACATCAATTTATTGGCCTGCAAGATAGTACGAGCTAAAACCCTCTAGATTTTTTCTTTGGGGATTCGTGTGAGACGAAGTCTATTCACACAGTCCCTAGACGAATATCTAACAACGTAAAGCAAATCATTTGTCAAGATATTAATGAAATCGGAGCGGAATTGTGCGGAAATTTTATTATTAATTTGAAACAAATTATTAGGTAGATATATGTTGCAGAAATCGTTTGAAACTATTATTTCCAAAAGATAAACTCTCAGGTTCTTTTGTTGAAACATCAAAATTAATTATACAGTGACCGCCAAAAAGTTTGCAACAAATGGGCAAATATTTTATTATTAAGATATCAAAAAAAATGTTTCGTGGGATCAATTCAGCATACCCATCAACAAAAAAAATCACTGTGACAGATGTCATGTGACCACAGTCATGGCGGCAAATTTAAAAAGTTCGCCTTAAATATGTGAAAAGTGGGGTTAGACGACCAGAAATCGAAAAATTGTAAAGAGAAAAGTTGTTCAGGAACCGATTTTACGTCCATGTGTCAATTTTTAAAAAGGTACAAGGATTTTTAATAAATATCAATTGTTTGGCCTGTTTTCTGGTAATTTGAAAAATATCAAAAACTTTCCGTCTGGTTCACATAATTCAAAGTGAAACTAAAAAAAAAAAATCCAGTGCAGTAATTCTGCTCAATTGTCCTGCGAAAAAGTGTAAAAAACCAAAAATTCATTTTCAGACCACTCTGATCTTGTTGCAATGACCTACAGAAAACAAAAAGTTGGCATAACAAATTTAGAATTATCATGAAATCTTTCTAAATGATCCAATACTTCTTTTCTAAATTTAATCAAGCCAATATTTTTGTGAAATGTTTTCGATATTTTTCAAATTACCAGAAAACAGGCCAAAAAATTAATATTTATTAAAAATCCTTGTACCTTTTTAACACATGGACGTAAAATTGGATCCTGAACAACTTTTCTCTCTACAATTTTTCGATTTCTGGTCGTCTAACCCCACTTTTCACATATTTAAGGCGAACTTTTTAAATTTTCCGCCATGACTGTGGTCACATGACATCTGTCACAGTGATTTTTTTTGTTGATGGGTATGCTGAATTGATCCCACGTAACATTTTTTTTGATATCTTAATAATAAAATATTTTCCCATTTGTTGCAAACTTTTTGGCGGTCACTGTATAAGTATCATAAGAACAGATAATGAGGTTTCTATACCGGCGAGGGTACTGACGAAGTTCTATCTTAGACATCGGTTTAAAATTATAGAGATGTATAATTCTAAAGTCAATTCAGAATTGACCGTCACTTCAGGTTTGGGAACTATTGAAATTATAGGTTTAAGCTAATTAAACTTGCTTTAGAAACACTAAAGACCCATAACCTAACAATATATCACTTCCGGTCTATTTACTTTTGGGGTTATGTTACTGCCGGCACTGAATATGTTGAAATGCACTCCTGTGTGAAAATATTCCTCGGCCATGAATGCCGTTAATTTCATTTTTATAAATACCTATTTAAGAAAGAAGATAGATAACCAGTCTCTATGTGCAGATATCAGACCGGTAGAAAACGTCAAATAAACTACCTAAATTTATACCAATATTTGCCTGACAACGTTAATAAGACAAAAACTGACACATATATGTATATCAATTCAGAAAAATATATTTGTTTCTTTCGGATAACCCTGGAAACGTAGGTCATTATTCAAATTGCAATATATGTATACCTACCTATATTTTTTTTCAACAAATATTTATTAAGTGTTTTTTTCATCATAATACTGCAAAACATGTGAAATTTAAATTTCTTGAAAATTAATAAGCTTTATGTTCATCGCGAGATCCGGTAACAGGTACCATTTATTAACCATAATCTGCCCTGATTTCTCTTATAGGTTTGAATTATTTATTCATGACATTTATTTTGTTTGTCCATAATTATTGCGTTTCCTTTAGAAAGGATGGATTTTTGTTCGATAAATTTTAAGTTTAAATTTGTTTTTACCTGGCATGGGTGTTAAATAAATCACCGTTAATACTGCGGCGGCCATCCCTAATACTATAGACAATCTTATCAATACGTTTTGACTAGTAGACATTGCTGACATTTTAATGACTTTATTATTATTTTTCTCTTTAGTTTCAACCATAACAAAAAAATCCTCCAGTAGTCTCAGCACACACTATACACTCTTGCACTAATTATATACAAAAACATAAAACTCGAAATATTGTTTAAAATATACTACATTTTGTGTTTAATAAATTATATTTTGTTGCTATGAACTCGCGAATAGCTACAAAACTATTTCTACGAAGGTAAACTGTAACCATGCGTTCGATACACTTGAAGACCCGACCATCGACCATACCATTGCATGTTATGAAAGAAGAAAGGTGGAAGGAGAATGAAGAATACAGTCAATTTATTCAGTTCCTACGAGGGGGATACAGAATTAATGAGAATATATCCATTCACTTTTCTGAAGAATCAATATACGAAATTTCAACGCCTAGCGAATTTACTTGGATGCGTAAAGTAGAATAGGGCAAATCTTTTTATCAATCCCAGTTTCGTTTTATCAGTCTTTAAATTCAAATGCATCTAACATAAGTGAGGCAGTTCGACGTCGGATATTGATTTCCTGACGGAAAATGAGCAAACTCTCATTTCTTTTGGTACTTTTATTTTTTTGTATAAGTGGCAATTTTCGTCTGCCTGTTTGGCGACCGTTAATACGAATAGCAAAGTGTTGTCTGGTACCGTGTTCATGCCATATATGGCACCATGGCCGAAAGTCTATCATCGTTTATTGCTCATTTGTCATTAGGCGCTAACTTGAGTTTATTTTTTTCGCTACCCTAGCCACACTGATGAGGTCTTGAAAAATGATCAAAACGCGTCTGTGTGTGGAAGAGCATTTAGTACCTACTTTTTTTCTGACATTCGATGACACGGACTTTTGGTCTGCCTGATTGTCGACGGGTGCTACACGAGCCCTAAAATGTTTTTTGGTACCTTGTCTACCATCGGTTAAATTAATCAAGTTATTGTTTTTCAACATCACAGACGTGTAGTTTCTTGACAGTGCTGTTTTATTTATTGATGTTTATTTTTGGCAAGCAAAATATTACTTGACGACTCCAAAAAGAACTTCTTTAGTACACAAGAGCTGCGGGCGTCTTACGTAGTGTTTTTTTTGAGATCCATTTGAAATGAAAAACTATTTATATATACTTAAGGCATATTACATTTTATTCCTTGGAAATTTTATGTTTATCTACAGAAAAATAAGAACTATTGCGTATATTGAAAGGCTTTCAGATAGTTGGAAGTTGGAACACATGACGTATTGATAATGATTGTGCCTGCGCCTCAACACTGGGAAATTGAAGGCCCTTGCGGTGCTTTTATTCCTTTCAACTTATTATCGTCCAGACAATGTTAACCCTATTTATTATCACGTTTTCCAAATATGCTCAAGCCACGGAGGTTATAATTTCCAACCTCCGTGTTTTCATATTTGTTATGTCTCCGTCATTTTCGATAGGCATGTATTCGATGCACCGTTCTGCAGAGGCAAGGAACAGTGAAAGATTTAGGATAGGACAACTTTCAAAGACCGATAATTTCTGAAACAAAGTTTCCGGAAGTGTGGTAGATACCAACAGGTTGACTTGTACATTTTCGATTCCTGAAGCTAATAATAATTTCCGGCGTGGCGTATTTTCTGGTCGTGGATATATGTATTGCCCATACAGTTGTTTTCTACATGGATGAAAATTCATTCCTTAGGATTTTCACAACCAGTATGTCATCATACTGCTAAATACCGAATACCGCAATTTTCATCGCTTTGTATCCGATATATCTTTACTTTGGAGTGTCTGAACTTTTCTTCATCGAAATGGTTGCTTCAAAATAGATTATAAACGCCAAAATGTTCACCTCTAGCTTTCTCGTCCTAACAACGTTGACATTAATGCGCGACGTCATGTAGACGATTACCTTTACAACGATTATATTTACCCCAATAGCACACACACAACTCGTGAATGTGGGCACTTACCAATTTATGCATATCATAATTTGTAACTCTATTGTGACGATCACTTAACGCCACAAACAAAGGCTATCTCAGAACCAAAAACAAAATTGATCCGGCAGATAGATGAAGATCTAAATTTAGTTTATCGCACCAAAATGATCTCCAAATTTAATCTGATGAAAAGAAAAAGAAAGTGAACAAAAAAATTCAAGATTTGGTGTACCTACCCATAATAGGAAACACAAATAAGATTCGGCCCTTGTCAACGATAATACATAGGTGAAAATAAATCATTCAAATTTTATTGCAGGTAAAGCACCGTCCACCGTGCCATATATAAAATCACAGAGTTACCTAATAATCCGCCAATCCTAACTTTCATTTTGTGTTATGGTCATCAAAGTGGACCTTATATTGTATTTATGTATATTTCACAAAGTTATAGCGTCGGTTATAGGTAATATAAAAACATTTATTTCAAATCAGTTCTTAACTTTCATTGCTTCTCAAATGCCTCATCATCATAAGCGATCACTCAATACCGATACCGGAAGGTATTTATCCAAGCTTCTTCAACCCAGAGCTGGTAAACTCTCGGGTTCTTCGAAGGTTGGCATTACTTATGCAACGTTGCCAGCTCACTTTTATTGCTTTTTTGAAATTTTTTCCTCATAACCTTACTTATTTATGTTATTTTTTTCTTTTTTTTCCGTTTCTGTAACGAAAAGTTCGGTTTCGTGTACCTATTCTGTGTAAAATATGTTGTTTTGTTCTAAAGAGAAAATTCCTGAAAGAAAAAACCACAAGCATAGGTACTTACGTACCGGTCTGTTGGGAATTCGAGCCTATGCTCGATTTGTTCTAGAACAAATAAAATTGTTTCGCGTCGACGTCATCAAAATCGTCCCAGACGTCAAAGGGATTAGGGATTTGACCTCAACCTTTCGTGGTAGTGGCGCCGCTCATGTTTTAGAAATTCTAGAACATCTCGATTATCATCACAGAAATCTAGGTCCTCCATCTCTTCAGAATTTCAAAATTTGAGCCAACACCACCACATTTCAAAAAAAAATGCAGATAAAAAATAACACAAAATTTGGGGGTTAACCCAGGGTCAAATACGCTAACTTGCCGTGAGAGCGCGCTTTAACTTTTTCCTGGAGTAACCCTCGAGTTAGCAATTGACCCTGGATGGATAAACACTTGTCTCAACTTTGACCCAGGGTTATCCCTTACTCATGGGGTAACCCTTTATTGATAAACTAGCCCATTAGCCATATTCTCCTCTAGGACATGTTTGTACCGTTTTTGTTGACCTCTTACCTGTCCAGCGAAGTTAGTGCTTAATGATGAAGGCTTCCGTGCTAGTTGGAACTCTAAGGGCCGGTTTATCAATAGAGGGTTACCCCATGAGTTACAGATAACCTTGGGTCAAAGTTGTGATAAGTGTTAATCCATCCCGGGTTAACTAACTCGAAAGTTATTCCAGGAAAAAGTTAACCCGCGCTCTCATGCCAAGTTAGCGTATTTGACCCTGGGTTAACCTCAAAATTTTCTCTTATTTTCTAGCTGATTTGTTGGTTTTGGATTGAATTTTCATGTTGTGAAGAGATGGAGGACCTAGATTTCAGTGATGATGATCGGGATGTTCTAGAATTTTTAGAACATGCATGAGCGGCGCCTCTACCTAAGGTTGCGGTCAAATTCCTTTGACTTTTTTGACGATGTCGACTTCTTTGCACGTTTTCGCTTGCGAAAGAAATAATTTTATTTGTTCTAGAACAAATCGAGCATAGACTTGAATTCCCAACAATCCTGTTCGTTGGGGATTTGAGTATATTGTATATTTTTACACAGAATACCCGAAACCAAATTTTCCGCTAGTGGGGATTTACCCGAAAGTAGCATACGATATGCGACTTGCTGCTAGAAGGCAAGAAGCATGATACCTTCTTATTTCAGAACCTTTAGAAATATATGTCTGGTTTCATACCGGAGTGATTTGAACATGTCGTATATTTTAGATTTCAGTTTGCGACGTAATACGTATTTGCAAGACGCACAAACGTTGTTTATAGATTCTTGACTTGTTTCGTAGACGAGTGTCGATAAATTAGGTAGCTCTGTGCGACTTTGGTATTAATGTACTTAAATGTAAACATGGAAAACGCAAGTTGCAACGTGCTTCCTGCTTTCAAGCCCACCTACGGAAACGGAAAATAAAAGAAAAAATAACATATATAAATAAATAAGGTTATGAGCAGAAAATGTGAAAAAAACAATGAAAATTAACTGGCAACGTTGCATAAGTAATGCCAACCTTCGAAGAACCCGAGAGTTTACCAGCCCTGGGTTAAAAAAGCTTGGATAAACACCTTCCGACATAACCCGATAGTTAGCCCAGAGTTAGAGTTGACCTAGGGTCAGCAAACTCTGCGAGTTATCCCTTGATTGATAAACCGGCCCTAAAAGTCTAAGAGTTGTTCGTCGGCCTTGCCATTTAATCCGTAGGATCCTTCTTAGGCATCGCTGGTGGTATGTTTCTAGGCTTTTTATGTATCTTCTGTAGGTCCGTACGTGTTTCGAAGCCATACGTAAATGTTGGTATAACAACTGCATTGTAGACGCGAAGATTGGTCTCAGCGCTAATGTCGTGATTGTTAAAGGTTCTCTCTAGAAGTCACCCGATCGCCTTCAAGCGATGTTGGATTCCAGCGACAATGGTTGCATTTGCTGGCAGATGGCTCAGGAGGTATAGGTAGTGTTCTACGTTCTGCAAAAAAAATGGTCATTTATAGTTATATTTGGGGCTTGGGGATTAGTGCCCGGTGCGGGTTCGAGCAGAATCTGGGTCTTGTTAAAGTTGATCTCTAGGCCGATTCTCCTGTATGCCTGGTTGAATGCATTGATAATTGCCTAAAGATCTTCCTCTGTATTGGCCATCACGACGTCACCACGTCGCCGATACTTTCGTCTTGACTCGCAATCTGCTTAGGTTGAATAAGCCGTCATCAAGTCTGTACAGGAGTTCCGCTCCTGACGGCAGGGACTTTATTCTCGAAACAGGGGAGCAGCGTTCTCATGAAAACGAAGGTTCTGTC